GAAAGAGAAGAAAGATGGTAGAATGAATTATATAATTTAATAACCAGCATCTAGCAACTTCCTTAGCTAGAAAACATGTAACTAATATCAGTTTCATACTATAGTAAAGCTTTTTTAGTTAATAGTCCTAGACCACTGATTAAAATGTTTATTTTTTTGTCCATCAAATAGCTGTCAGAAAAAAAAACTAACTTCTGTTGGAAGTGTCAAGCCATTGTGCCACTTGCCTCCCGTAGAAAGTCAGGTAACCAAAGACAGACTTTCGGACTTAAGTTAATTTGAAGTTAAGTCTGTAGTAGATATGGGCCAAGGAAAAGTGGTACTTCAAACATATTACAGGTACTTATAGGTAATTTCAAGTGGACTTCATTTACATTATCAAACAGCTCTTCAGCTAAAACAAAATGCATTTGCTCACATTTCTTCCTTAGAAAACAATACAGTAACATACCTTCAGCAGCTGGTATCTCTGCACTCAAAATTGACCTAGTGAAAAATTATCAAACAGAAGTTAGTTGGAAACGAGACATCAGAAATTAAAATCAAACTCCATGTGAAGTAGCGAAACCTCAAAACTCTTAAGAGTGGAAAGACTTCACCTATTTTTCAAGTTTCAGCATTTTCCACTTTGAGATCCTTCAATAAAGCAGAAAGGCAAGCAATTGCAGCCAGTCTTAATCAGAGTAAAGGAAAATTATTTCCAGTTCATCTTGCAGACTATAAGTCTAAGATTTGCCGCCAGTTCTTTTCACATAAAATATGTAGCTTTGGCTGTTGACAATGAAAGTAAATGATAAAGCAGAGTAAATGGAAACTCCTTACATAAAACGGACAAAAATTTACCACGAGGCAGAACCAGACAGATATAATATTTTATGATGAATCACTGTTCACCACTTTATGTGGGGGGCATTTGCAATGAACTGGTTCTGTCAGAAATGTTTTGGGCTTTTATTTTTTAAGAAGTTATAACAAATACATGATTGTTTAAAAAGAGAAACAATAACCTTGCAAAATGTTTATGCTAATAAATGAACAAAGTCTCTTCACAACCTTGTTCATGTCTACCTACACCAGAAAGCTACACAGAGCCACATACATGCCTACCTATCTGTCTCCTTTCGTTCTGCTGATGTTATAGGTTGAGTTTTAAATCTCTCAGAAGTCTTTCTATTTTCACCAGGAGTAAAATAGCGCCTCGGCCTTCGCGGCCCTCTTTCACGGTCACCATTGGCAGACAAAGTGCTGCCTGCTGTTGACTTCTCAAACCGAGATTCACTTTATAACCACACCATAGAAAGCACATAGAAAAGAAAATAGAAGAGAGAAGTAAAGCATAGATGTAAGCATCTCAACAATTCACTAGAGATCACTCTGCATGCTCCTCTGGTAACATGCGCAGACGTACACATTCCAGCTACCCCATATCACAACTTGCACTAGCAAGCGGAAGCACAAAAGCAGGATTCAAACCATTTCAGCCTCCAATACACACTGGTGAGAGCTAAGCTGTGTGCTTTAAGTGCCGAACACAACTGATGTTGAGGGTGTGTAATTTTGCCAAGGACGTGCAAGTTTCACACGAAAACATGTCTGAAATGTCACCTACAGTTCCGACTTCTTGTTCGCGTTAGCAGTCTCCAGAAAGATATTACGGAGCTGGGCAACAGAGACTTTTGTGTCAACCATGCCAATCTCACCATTTGGTGCATCTGCTTCCATGCTCTCCTTACTTCTAAAAACTTCTAGCTTAGGAGTCACAGTATAGTCAGACATTGAGCGAGTCAGGACTTTATGCTTTGCTGTCGACACTTTCCAAACAGGAGCTTTTGCCTTGGCAGGCTGCGACACAGACCCACTCTGTATGTACATTACAGCTTCACTCCTTTCTATGTTCTCAGGGTTCTTAAACTGCTGCTCAGGAGCTTGCCTCTTATTGCATTCCAGCTCTCTCTGAACTTCTGAGTTAACTTTTAGCTTGCTTGTGAAAGAGGCACTCCCCACAGGGGTATCCAATTCTCCTCCTCCAAAGAGGCCTTCACGGTTCTTCCCTTGCTTGCGAATCTCAGATGGCAAAATTGGTCTTCTGCCTTTGGAAGCCTGCTCACCTTCCAAGGAATCTCCTTCATCAGGCTTTGATCCATAACTCTCTTTCTTTTCACTCTCTGATGCAGCGGATGCTGATGGCTTTGTTAAGTGGCTGACATTGTCTGGTAGGAGGAGGCTGCCGACAGAGATGTTTGCCGGCTCTTCTGTTGCCATCAGCTGAGCTGTGTGAGCAGTGCCAGCAGGCTGAATATAGCCATGTACTGGTTGGCGGACTGAGCTGACGGGCTGATTTACAACCCTATCAAAGGCAGACGTTTCTGTCTGAAGAGGCATGTAGTGGGCTGGCACTGGATGGGACTTTCTCTGAGATACTCTGTCTGTGACAAGTTCAGGGCTTCCTCGAGCACTTTCCTCTTTGACCAGTTTCTCTCTAACTTTTACTCTTTAAGAAAGAAAAAGGATTAAAGTGGTGAAGAGCAATGCCCAATCTGGGAAGGAACACAGACACCCACTGCAGGTATAGACAGCAATATTGTATTAAAATAACAAGCAATCAATACATGAAGGAAAGCAATCTTATGATGCAGTTCCTTCCTCCCCCCCAAAATCTTAGCAGTAACATTGCTCAAGACCATTCCAGTGATTCACAGGCCCTCAAACATGCATGGCTCCTGAGAAGGTAACTGAGCAAGCTCTGAAAATATACAGCATGTTCCAATGAGGTCACAACTATTTTTGTCAAACAGCAAATAACCATAGTCTCAAACAAACAAGATGATCAAAAGTGCTTTTTATATTACTGAAGTGTTTGGTTCAGCCTGAAATTGCAAATTCTATTGGCAGTCATGTATGTAGTCAGATTTTTTAAGATGTCTAACACCAGGCAGCTTACATCATATCAAGATGTTGTTGCACTGGGGAAAGGGATGAAAAAACATGTTGCTATCTCCACCTAGCCCTTCAGATGTTTTCCCAGAGACTTTTTAACTTGTGCTTTTGTGTATCATGTAAGACATCTAAAACATTACATGTTGAACCTGTTTCAGTAAGTGAGAAAAAAGGTTGAAAGTGCAAGTCTTATAGTCCAAAGTGAAACTTTGGCATTGCTGTTGCTTTTCAGAGGGCTTGCAGGGGAGAAAGAGACAAAAAAACCCCACCAAACCCAAGAAAAACCCCACTACCAAAACAGGTGGTCCATTTAAAAACATTTAATTACTTTCTAACATGCAAACATTACAGCAATGGTCCCAAGAAGTTACCTTACATCAGCATATTTTCCAGAAACACCTCTGGACTTGAACATCCATGCAAACCAGAGCTGTGTTCTACCTTTAGACAGTTAAAGCAACTGTACTATCGGCAGGCAAGCACGTGCAGCCTTTGCTCTATGACTACACCGACAGGTAAGCTCTCCAGCAGTTTTACAGCCATGCCAAGTGTTTGGGACAGCTTACAGGGCAAGTATTTGTAAACGTCATATACACATTATTAAAAATGAAAGCCCTGTACTACTTCCCCTCTGAAATTGGTATAAAAAATATATTTTAATTCTCAGGAAGGAGAGAAACTCAAGTAAACCAGCTCTTTATTTGAAAGCAATTAATCTGGCTTGAAGTATGTCAATTCCAGGCTTGCTACTAACAGACTTTTTGAAGTTTACATGGTTTTAAAAAAAAAAAAAAGGGCAAGATTTAGAAAAAAGGCAAATTAATATCTGAGAGAATAATTCAGGATATTCAAAGTTATCTGAAACACCAGCCTTTTTAATATTCTGGTGTTTCTTCTCTTTGAGGATTGGAACATTTATCAGGGAAAATTCTCAAAGTTCCCTAAGCACAGGAAGTGTGTTCAGTCTGAAAAGTACACCTACCAAACATTCTCCAGAACATCCACACTGATGTTAGTACTGGGTTATAAGAACTACTTTAATCAGGATCATGGAAAAGAGTCTTCCTGCAATGCTCCTCACGTGTATGTGTTGCCAAACAAGGAGAAAGCAGCTGCTTGTAGCTCTGATCAAGATGTTGCTTTCCGTTTCAAGATAATTTTTTTACTTCTCTTGCATCATCTCCTTTGGATTTCAAGGAATTAATTGTAAGGAATGCTAAGATAGATTGGTATGTGGTATAAAAATCTGCTGGTTTGCAGAATACAAAGTGGGATAAAATAAGAAGTTATCAAATCAATAGAAGACAGAATGATAGTAGTTTGAAGAAGCTGGGGCATTTGTACTTCTTCATCAGAATACCCACTGGTTGTAATTTACATTAAAAGCAGATGTCTCAGGGAAGTTGTTTGTTCAAAAGAAACAACATTTTATGACTTGCTGCTGTTAAAGGAAAATTAAAGGCAAGTATTAAATGAAGACAGTGTAAAGGGAAAGGAAAGGGCAGGTTGGTAGTGTCATTGTTAGCCACACAGCTAGGTTTTATGATACCTGGAAGGCCAGCTGATAAGTGAAGGTGTGTCCCCCTCCGAATCTTTCTGAAGAAACCATTCAGGTTTTGCTTTCCCTGCACTACTACAGAAAACAGAACTTAAGTAATTTTTGAGATCTCAACACATGCTCCTGTTGTTTCTCCCAATCTTCCCTCCCCACTGCATTTTTAGTTATCTAATAACTCAGTTATAGAGGACTGTTCATGAAAATAAAAGCACAGCACACTAATCAAATTGAAAGGTGATACAAGGTATCAAGGTGAAAAAAGCTATCATACTAATTCCACAAGCATCTAAAAATGTATTAATGTGAAATAATCTGTAAAAGTAAATTTACCAAGCGTACATTGTCCAGAATTAGAGAAGTGAAAGAAACTACACAATCTCATTTTTGCCATTTGTTATTGCAGGTCAATGTGAAGGGTTTATGTAAGGACACCTGGAAAAGTTGCTAAAACCATTAATTTAGTTTGTGGTTTAAAGTGGTAAAGACTGCTAGGTCCAAAAGAAAGTAGCATTAATTTAATGAAGTTAGAAATTCAAATGACTATATCGTACTTCTCAATAAATTCTCAGAAGAGCAGCTGTAGCCCCTCTCTCATCTTGTAGCCCTATATCACAAAGGCTCCAGAAATGCAAACCCAGGTAGCTCAAGTAAAACAACCCATGTCACTGGGCAACAGGGGAAAGGGAAAGCTTAAAAAGTGAAACCCCCAATTTGATCGTGTCTTGATTTTTATTCTGTTCCCCTTTTGGAGCTGAAAGCATAAAAAGAAACAAAACCACCACAAACTTCTGAAAGCCCTACAGCAAAAGGGTGTCTGCAGACTACCTATATAGTTCCCCAAATACTTTCCTAATGCTCACCTTCATCTACAGTCCCTCAGCAACAGTAGATCACATCAAGTATTTTTAACTTTGCAAGCACAGACTGTCTGGCCACACTAAAGGTTTGCAAACAAACTCATTGGAGGTGACAAGCAGCCAAGCTGTTTTCCATTGCCTCTACCTACATCTGAAAGAACTCCCAGCATTGCAGAAGTGTAATTTAGGATGAAAATCCCAAATAAAGCTCCAGGTCATTTACTTCAATATTTTATATTTTTTTTTGCTGGTTTTTGAATAAAAATAGTTGGAAAAGGTCAATTACTGCTCATAAGATAACAATGCATTTACTGCAAATAAGTTAAATTTAAAGAACTCACCTACAGTTGTCACCTTATCCAAATCAAGTTTAGAACAAAGTCAAACACCAACTGTTGAAACATGTTTTGTTTTTCCCAATGTTTTCGAATTCTTAAAGGAACTGGCCTAACAGAAGGTAAAAACCTTTCACAGGAGCTGACCCGGTAGGCTGGAATTGCTTTGAAGCAATCAAACTTCCTTCTTGCCTCTTAATGTGTACTTTGGCACATTTTTACAGTAGGTATGGCCCAAACAGCACTTATTTGTACTTGGTCATTCATCCTTTGAAGAGAGCAATCAGAAGAACACAAGCCACGTTTTGCATTTTGAGTTGATCAGCCACTTCAACAGCCAAATACTGACAATGTCAAAGGATACCTTCTCAGCACATTGTTGTCTTCCCAGTGATGGATAATAGAATTAATTATTAAATTGCCTTAGAACTGAAGCTTTCATGTGCATTCCAAAATAAGATCCATTTACTTTCCATTTTGAATTCAGAAAATTTAAATTTAACAAACACTATTTTGCAACCTATATAACTTCCTTCAAAACAGTCACCTGGAAAGCTGGCATTAGCCTTTATTTTTCTTGGGTATACGGCCTTATAGGACACTACCACACAGTGACTGTAAACTTTCAGCCATATTGCTGAATTAGAAATTCAGGTGGATTCAGGTGTCTCTATAGCCAGCGTGCTGTTCCTCCAGGGCAACTGCCATCCCACCAGTGCTACATGCAGTGCAGTTTCTCCAGAGTTGCAAGATATAGCAACCCAGAAGGCAGCTACATTGTTCAGTGTTTCGTAGCTTTCCCTTCACAGAAACAGGGACTAGGATTGCTTTATGAGAGTAAAGAAAACAAAGCTCCTTTTTACACTGCAGCTGACACATTCTTGGCCCTAAAGTTTGATGGGTTGTTCTCTTTGCTTTCTTAAGACTGAAAGCTTTGTCTCTTCCTTCACCTTATAAAACAAAGAAAACAACCTGCCAAAGGTCAATTGCTCCAGTATCCTTTCCTATCAGTAATTGGATTAGTCAAGAGATTTATCTCAAATTGACCGTATCAAGATACGGGATAATATTTTGTAGTATTTGAGTTGAGACTACTTCAGAAACAAGTTTTTTGGAGCCTGAAATAATGGAGTTTCAGTGCAACACTGGTCTCTGTTGTTTGGAGGACCCTGTGATGACTCTTTTCCTTACTGTAGCAGCAGAACTGTAAGTTTAAAACATAAGCCAAATGTAAGATAGTACTTCCTATAAGTACATTACTTTCCCTCTGATGTTTTTTTTGAAATGACAATATTCTTTTAAAATTTCAGTTTAACTGCAAGAGTCCAATGATAGCTCATGTATCCATACAAAATAATGTGAGCAGGATTAGAAGTCACCTTTATAGTGAAAAGCTGTGAAAAAAATATTGAGACTACTTATGGGTGTGTCCTATGCAATAAAGTGAAACAAAAAGGAAGGCTAAGCACAACTGAACGTTTACAGGCACTGTAAATAGATGACTTAATCAACCCACCAGCTCGTTAACCTTTGACGTGGAAGACTGCTTCGTCATTCAAACTTCAAGGTTTGAATAGATGAGTATATAAATTATTATATAAGTTAATAAGAAAGACCACACAAATAAGAATCAAGTTTTGCAGTTTTGATGGGAAGGATAAAGAAGACCAGTCAAGGTAGCTTGCTTCTGAACCTACTGCAAAAAATGCTAAAAAAGTGTAAATGGTTCTGTTTATACTAGTTAGTTTCAGTTTTTTTATAAACAGCACTGCTCAGCATGACCTAGATGTGTTTACCATTAAGTTCTCACTGCAAGTTACATAATTTTGGCTGCAACATTTTAATTTAATTTTACAGTTATTATTTTCCATCTATCTTTACCTAGAAAGTAAAGAATCACCCTTAGAGAAAAATCATACTTTGAAAAAATTCTTAGTTACACATTGTTTTCATTCACCAAAATACTTTGACAGTCTGTTTTTTGCACTACAGTTTGAAACTATAATGAGAAATTACTGAAAGGTGTTTTTTTGTTTTGTTTTGTTTTGTTTTTCTGGATGAATCTGATTACCCTATTAATGGAGTAAGTTAGTCAAATCTGAAATAATTCAGTGTACCATGAGGGAGGCTACATTTTTGAAATTTAGCAAGGAATTTTCACTCTCCCCTCTGCCTCTTCACACACATACTCTGATATTATCTGAAAGATTAACTATCACAGTTCAAAAGGGGCTTTTACATTCTCACAGCAGGAAAACAAATCAACTATTACTTCAACCAGCCAGAGACACTTTTCAACTTTTAACTCCAATACCTGTTCTATTTTGGCAGAAGCCATCGTGAAACTATTTAAATATTCACCTTCACTGAGAAACAATTTGCCTTCTCCTGGAAACCCCCATCCAATTACAGGATAAAGAGGAAAAGTTAAAGGCTTGCTCTAACCAGTTATTAAAAAAAAAGTAAAAGAAGTGCAGCAGATTTAGAACCGTAACTGCTTCAGTTCCTAGTTTGTGTAAATATATTGAATATCAGTTATTTTACTCCCCCCACAAAGGGCCTGAATTTAGCATAACTTCTATAAATATAAAGTGAAACCAAGGACATATCTAATCATAGAAACAGATACTCACTTCCTTGTATCAGAAATACACTCTGAGTCAACAAACCCAACCAATCCAGACCTCCAAAGCCATTACATACATTCTTCAAGGGTAATAAATACATTTTCATAAGTACTGTAGACACTACTGCAGCAAGTGATTAAAGTAAGGAATCTACCATATAAAGAAACAAATAAACATCACACTTACCTTTGTCTGATGTTACTGTGCAAGGGCTGGTCATTTTGCATATGGATTGGTGAGGCTGCCCGCTTTGGTGAAGAAAGGGACTCTCTAGGGGTTTGCTTTGGTGATATTGGCACTTCATTATAGGAGGAAGATTCTCTTCCAGAAATTGAAAGGGAGACAGAGCTATCCAAGGTTGCCGAAGGGTCAGAAGCCTGTCTAATGGCACTGTCATCATCTGCTTTTCTATCACCCTTTTCATTTGAGAGGTCTTTATCTGGAATACGATCTTTTCCATGGCTGGAGTACTCTTTGGATTCAGAAATCACACTCTTGGACTCCTTTGTCTCAGTCCTTGACAGATACAAGGAGCCACAGTCCTTGTTTTCATCATCTTGCCTTTCATTTCTCATTCCCTTTCTTTCCACGCTGTCAGGATCTCTCCTTGCCCGTGTATATCTGGATGAGTAGTCAGAATCCAAATCAGAATCAAGAGATAATCCATATTTTTCTGCCAGCTGGCGCCGCCTTTCTGCCTTGTATCTAGCTATTCTTTCTGCTTTTGACTCTAGTTCCTGGACATCCATGTTTCCTGTACTATACGAGGGCTCTGTATTACCTCCTGTGATTTCTGCTCGGTATCTGGATGATCTGGGTTGCTTTTCTACAGAAGAATCTGAAGTTTCCTCCTCTTCATTTGATCTTCCTGTCAGAAGCACAACATAAATGAGCAAGTCCACCCCAAAACGCCAAGTACCCTACCCACCATTCACACTGAGTAAAATGAAAGCTTCCCATTTTCTTACAAATCAACATGTAGTACTGACTGCACAGACACATCACATTATTTCACTTTTGTCTCAAAAAAGGCACATACAAATGATTAAGAAATATGTATTAGTTATAATTATTTAGGAGTTCCACAACAAATTACTGTTGTTTTAAAACAACATGGATAATGAACCTCTTTCCAATAAGACAACTGGAGAGCGAAAAGGCAAGTTTTAAAAAACCCTGACCACAGCTCTGTAAAACTCTTCTCCAGGTACTGCACAAATATTAGGGTAGTAAGCACAAAGTAATTCAGTAATGCAAGATTGACTGATACATACAACTTACCTAGGTGGGGACTGTATGGATCAGTTGCACGCATGTATCTTGGTGTATCTTCCTCTAGTAAACGGTGTGTGACTGATCCTGGGCAGTTCTGCAGAAGCATGGGCTGTGTATCATTTTCAATCCCCTCTAAGCGTCGAGCTATTCTCTCTTTTCTGAAAAAGATGTGAAAAACATGAAACCAGGCGTATCTTTGAAGATTTGAGGGGAGAGTTTCTAAGAGGAGGTAACAAAACAGGTTGTGTGTTTTGTTTTACAGGCCAAGGACCTTTTTTTTTTTTACCTTTTCATTTCCAAAAAATCTTGGTTGTTTGGTTCAAACAGTTTTCTTAATTCTGAAACTGAGACAACAAAAGATTATACAGTTTGTAAGCTTCTAAGTTTCAGAAACTCACAGAAATTTGCTAAAATGCTTTAGAGTAAGAAGGAATGGTCAAAGTTAATAGTTTTTTTCTTGGGGAACAAGCATTTTCTTTGTTTTCCTAGCTTCTTAAGCTTGCATAGTCAAGAGAGCATTAGGAGGCACACAGGTGTAAACACCAGAGGTCCTCTCCAGGTACTTCCAGTATAAGCTAGTATAAGCTAGAATCTGCTTTGCCATTCTAGCAGTTTTCATGTTCTAGTATGAACTAGGCAAGTTGCATTTTGATTAGCAGAGGTCAAGCTGACATGCTATTTCAAAACCAGGCAGTATGGAATTACTGCTCACCCTGCTGCACAAAGGCTGGGAACTATGTTTAAAGACAAACAGTGTCCCCTATCCTATACTTTCCTTCACTTTCTTACATTATTGAGCAAATCCTAAGAATCCCAGTGACTCATTGTAGGAGCAACATGATCATGATATTCCTGCATGGTTGGTTACTTACTACTTTGCTAATTTTCCCTTATAGTTTAAATTGGACAAACTTCCCCTCTCTCACCCTAAACTGCTTGGTGGTGTTACATGCTAGGAGACAGCTGTCACAGATCACAAAACAGTAGAGAACCAACAGGAGGTACGATAGCTGAAGTAATCCCTATACATATACACATATGTACAGAGTTATCGGTGATGTTTGCAAACCACGCTGGAGCAGTGAGTGCTACATAAACAAGTCTGATGTGACTTCTTACCACCAGTAAGAGAAACCATCCAAGCTGTCAAATGATGCAGTGGACTGGGAGGGGGGGGGAAGGTGTGTGTGTGTGTGTCTAACACCCTCCCCATATTATCGCCTTGGCAAATATGTGGTGCTAAAAGCTGAATGTGCTTATTCTGATGCAATGTACCTCTGAGTTTCTGATCCTACTGACCCAGGGATCAAAAGTTAAAGCAAACTAAAGTCTACGGTTTACTGAATCAGCCCTAGGTTTCACTCAGAAACGCCTGAGGAGTGAGAAGTGTCCAGTAGACAGTGTTCCACAGCACTGCAGAAGTAAATCTGTCTTTTCCCCTATCACACTTCATCATTCCAGATACTTAAAAGATAAACATTATTGAAACACCAGCCCTTTAAAGGTCAGATGTCTTCTCTCCCTTTCCTCTACTGCAAGAACCTCCATGCATAGCTAAGTCAGGGCTCCAGCTTAGCTGACACATATCCAGGAAGTTTGCTGTATACAATACCAGTGTTCATACCTCATAGATACGGATAGATACGATTGATATTGGCTGTCATATCAACCTTATGTGCTGAAAAGCCACTAGGATTTCAGGTAAAATGTCTTGGATCATCAAGAATGAGTGTATTCTGATCATAACTACGCAGATAAATGAATGAGGTATGAATCTAGCATTTGAAGTAACAGAGAATTGCTTGCTGAGAATGTATGATTAATAACGGAAAGAAATTAACTGGATTACTCTCCAAAACAACTCCTTTAATCTACATTTTTACAGAAAGCAGCCTCAAGCTATCCACTTAAACTTCTCAAGCCAGATTATCTCAGATTGTGAGCATGCCATGAAAAAAATCTAGTATGTGCGTGACTGATGTAACTAGCAGTGCAGAGTAGCTAGGTATGACAATACTTAACATGCTAGCCCAGGGGGCCACCCCTTCCACGTCTAGTTTCAGCACCTACATCAAAGCAGACTGAAGCCTATGCTCTTGACCAAGTTGACAGTGCAAGATAACTACTGAAAGTCAGCAAGTTCCAGGCACAGGCCTCTGGAGGTGGATGGGAACTGGAGTCAGGCAATGCAGATTTTGCATGCTGAACCAACACCAAAACAAAGATGAGCCCTTATGTTTTGTTTCCATAGACTCTTCCCTTAACATATGAAGAGTACCACTGCTGCCCTGCTACTCAAACTGTGCAAGCAGTGGAACTGTATAAAACAGAGAACTTGCCCACAGGAAGCCTTTGCCTCACATTCACACCAATGGAAATGACTTCTCGTAAATATTTCGCTCCCACTTCTGCCAAATTTATTTCTTTTTAAGTTTGTTCCTCAGGCTATTAGTTTTCTGTTTCATCTCTTGACTATACAGATGTAAAATGGTCAAAACAAAAGCCATAATTGTTCTGCCACTTCAGACAGGTTAAAGGCCTCCACAGCTCTTAGTTAATAAAACCACATTCCATCCAAATCATGATCATTTTTCTTCCCCAGTCATTGATTTATACAGTCTCTAAAATCATCACCAGAGCTCAGGCTTTTTATACAGCTTTAGTTAAGCTTTGAAGCATAGCTTCATACACTGGTCATTTCTATTTTTTTCCCCCAAAAAAAGAAACTTGACTATAAGTAGTCATACAAGAAATGTGGAACATCTAAAGAACTCCCAGCAACATTAGATCAACAGTCTCTTGCTACGTGTTAGCTGAAGTTCCAGAGATTCTACTACTGCTTTGCAGTCCTAAAAAGAGCACTGGCCTCATGAAGCATCTCTCCAACACCTTCCCAAACAAGATGGGACAAAAATAGCATGGGACTACTTTATGCTGCCTTACACTTTTTCCACACTTGAGATTCCAGACAGTAATTTCAGCTAGGTTGGCCAACATCTGCAGAGCTTTTTCATGAAAACAGTTTCAGGAATATTCTTCTTCTGGGAGGTGGAAAAAAAGTACAAACAAGCAAAAGAAGATGATAAAAGGCAGGAAGTCTACTTGAGTGATTTCTTTTTGCTGAATAAAGTGTTTGACTTAAAAACATAAAAGCCAGTTGGAGAAATTTCACTCCCAAGGACACTGGTTGGCCCTTGCAAGCTTACGTGATCAGGCTTCTTTTTTTTAGTTTGAAATTTGAATGTGTTAATGCCAGTTTCCCATCTGTTCATGGGACGTTTTTCCACATGACCGTTTCAAAGACACCCATGACAATATTCATTAAGAACACATACCTAAAAGGTAACACAAAGATCTGATTCAGCACAAAAGAACAGACTAAGAAGCTTAAAATAATTAATTTCATGGTAAAAGCTCCTTATCCAATTTACTTCATGTCAACACACTTTGTAAGCACTGTTGATCTCTATAGTTAAGGGCAACAGGAAGAACAGCCACAGTCCAGGAACAGCCCTAAACTTCAGGCTTTTTTATAGGATGTTGAGAAGGACACTATGGTAGGATACACTCTAAGACAGACTGTCACAGGACATAATAATTTTGGTAAATGCAGGTCTCCTGAACGGAATTCACCTTATCATGCCAGCATTTAGCAAAAGCAGTACTGTTCCATGTCTCATCCCAGAATAAAAACCAAAAAGTACATTTGGAGTGTACCTTATAAAAATATTTTAAAAATCATTAAATTAAGGTGAAGGGTTTCTTACAGAATTCAGAAATTTTTTTAGAAAAAAATTGTTATAATAATACAAAGGTGTTTTTCCTGAAAGCCCTCTTTGGGCTAGAGGGGATATATGGATAAACTTGCAGGCATGTGACTGCGGTTTTATTTTTAAAATACAGAAGCCATGTAAAGTAAGTCAAGTTTCCCCAAAGTTCCTAGTAGAGAATGGACACACACATTTGTGAAGCCTGAATATATGTAGATCAGAAGTTTATTGCGAGAGGCTTAATTTCTCAGACATGGTAAATAACTATTGCAATGTAGGTACACATTTTCATTTTGAGGAAAATGTAACACAATAGTGAAGCCTACCCGCCCCTTTCCTACCTCCTCGTTGTCTTACTTGAAAAGATGATGGGTCTATAAACCAGGATGGAGAAGCATTTATCTTTTGTTTATGCTAGCAGAGGCACACTAATATGTTCAATGCTTAACTTCAGATAGAAATGTGAGACCTCAGCTAGACTCTTTATACCTCAGTTCAGTCTCTATCAATTGAAAATTAAACACATTCCTCTGATTTTCCAACAGGTACAAATCTGGATCTAAGTTAGGCCCTAGATGGGACAAATAACCTGGATTTTCAGAAAGTAGCCTCAAGTGGTTCCTTCAGAACATAACCACCAGTTCCCACTGCTAACTTTTTCTTGTGTGATATGCACAAAATCTGATGCCTTTATTGCAGTTTGTTTGAAAAGGGTAGAAATACCATCAGAACACCCACACAATTTTAATCAAAGTTATGAGATCCACAACATCCCTGAGGGAAGGGAACACCTTTATGCCAGTTACACAGTTTTGCAGTTCAACGTCACCCTTTCCCGGTTAAGAACTATTTCCAAGCAGATTATGATTTCCTCTAAATAATTCAAGATAATTAATTCACACCTCTACCTCAACTGTTTCAAAAAATGAACAAAACAGCAATTCCATCTTTGTAAGATATTCAGACTACAAGATAAGTTGTTTCTTTAAAAAAAATAATAATAATTCTCAAACCCCCATATGTAGTGCAGATCCTTTAGCATGCAAGATTAAAATTCAGCATGTAGTCAGTGGGTGATGTAAGCACTGTGCTTCTACCTAGGAGGGGACTGGAAAGAGCTATGTATACAAGCCAAGTTAATACCTTTGAATTCAGAATTATCTAACTGTACAAAGAAATATCTCTAAAATTTTGAATTTCAAGTACCTCTTTATCTATTGAAAACTAGGTTTACAAAGCAGCGATGTAACAAGGCCTTGTAGAAGACTACTGTGGTTCATCCCATGTTCCATTCCCTACACATGCTCCACAGGGAAAAGAAAACTCATTCACAAAACATCTGTGCCTAAGTGATTTTAAATGTGCCTCGCACTTGCATAGACTAAACTTCACATGCTGTTAAATTACCACTTGTGTGCATAATGTGTCTCCCTTACCTACCTTTTGGTAGTACTGCTAAGAGGTTAGCATCAATATCCTTTGTGCTGCTTGCAAGTTCTTCTTTATCTTCAAATGAAAACTCCTTCTGAAAACTGAAAGCAACATCTGGTTTACAGAACTGTGGATGTTTCTGTTATAAATCAGATATAGCCAAGATGTAATCAATTTACTGCAAGATAGTCTAACAGATAAACCAAAGAAAATATTTTCCATAAGAATGAAAAAAGAAATAACCCCAAGAAGCTCACAAAGCCAAACCTAACATAATTTGAAACTTGTTTGGAATGGACTATGACACATTTTTGCATTAAATTACTGACCAGAAACTGCCTTCAAAATGCTCTACCAGCAATTACATTTTTAAATAATCTACATCAAATGATTCTCCATAAATATTAAAACATATGTCATCAAACGTGTAGTGTATGTATACTTCACCTAGAAGCCTTTTGCACAACTGCCCTGTTGTTACTACGCTGATCTTACATGGCTTATGATACAACATGAGAAGCAGATAATTTAGTTTTATACCTTGTCTTTTCAAAACAGCAAAAATACTCTTTTAGATGAGACAAATTATTTGTTTAAGTATGTTCATTAAATATACAAATTTCAACTGTAAAATGTAGGTGTCATAATGGTCTAAAGTAGACAACTGTCTACAGAGACTTTCTGGACAAAATATTCCTCCCTATGGGCAAACAAAATGAGATTTTTCTCTCTAATTATTAAAAATACAGAGAGAACTGCTGTATTCTGTCATTATGGCTTCTAAACTTTCCCAACCAAGCATAAGAAAAATTAAACTTGTCTTAAAACCTTTAGTAAACTGTGTAGACAGGTGTAATAGATACAAATCCTCAGAGTGATCTTAGGCTCTTCAATTTGCCATGATGTGCCATACAATTTACGGTCAGTCTGGTAAGACAAATTGCACAGCCTTACTGTTAGAAAATCCTTCTCCAGGACAGTTTTTAAATGGCTTTTTAAATAATTTAATACTCTTTTAACAACAGTATTTTGTTAGAAAATAGTAAAAAACAATTTCTGTACTCACTATTCCAGAAGAACATTTCTCATTTAAGAGAGTCTTAACATATAAGGACTTATAACATTTTACATGAACTCCAAGAAGTATTTGCTTCTTTATAATTTATAAGTATTACTCCTTTGTAAGAAGACATTGAGGGGACAATAAACTCCTTGAAATGACTAAGAAACTGGGCTGTTTCACATTCAGGCACCATGCCACCTGCTGCAAATCGTTGCCAACAACTGCACTTAGAGAAATTATTCCAAGTACTGCCAAGAAAGCAATGTTAGCCACCACAGAAAACAGCAAATAGAAGATGAAGAGCTGCAATAAGCTTTCCATTACAGAAAAATGTGTATCCTTGCAGAGTGAAAACACTTTCATGGAACCAAACAAAGAAACAAAATAAAATAAAATAAAAAGCACACAGCAGCTACAAGTAAAATGTGTGGCATCTGAGACTGGGCGCAGAGATTCAGTTAACTGCATGTCTCTATATGCCCAACCCCACATTGCCTTCACTTGTGATTCTTCATTTGCCCCACAACACGTTAGTTTTCTTAGAGATAGAGGTTCTGGAGAACCCCTATGTGGAGAGACTCCTGGTTTTCATTTGAAAGCAGTTTCTACTCCTTTCAGCTGAGGATGAGATTGAAAAATGCAATTAATATTGGCCTTGGGCTATAAATCAAACCCAACATTTATTTTATCAAATCAGTGTGATTACTTAAGACTTGTCTCAAGAGAGCTGAGGGACCGAGCTCATGACTTTTGAATACCTAGGCTTTATCAGCAGCTTGAATTGCTTCCGTAATATTTATGATAGTGCAGCACCTTAAGTGTCCATAAATGTGGGACTGTACAGAAAAGCATTCTCTTACACAGCAAAATCCTTTTTTAAATTACTGTGCACTAATATCCACAACTACACCCCAGTCCCCCACAGATTTCCAAGGGTAAAATCATACAGATCAGGACTGGCTCTAGCCTGCTGGTTCTAAACAGAATTGTATTATTGGACTGCTTGTGGATCGCAAACAAACTTTTAAATACTGTAAACTAAATAGGTTTACTTACCCTTACTCCAAACTCCAGAGAGCTCCAGGGACTCAGAGGTCCAAGACCCTCTAAACCCAGTCTAAATGTCTTTCACTGTGTTTCCATCCATTTGTTCTTGTGCCAGTGTTACTGGTTATCTTACTTTCTTAATAGAAGTTTTCCACATCTATTCACCTTCCTCAAGACAGGCTTTCAGTTTAATTGTATGTAAAACTGTTGTCTACCTATTCCGGTTCTAAGACATCTTTTTTTGTAAATGGTGACTACAATTGGACAGTCTTGACTTCAGACCCAAGTCTTATTAGTGTCTTCTAAAAATCATAATTTTAACAGAGAAAGCATTATTATATGACCAGCCAGATAAATGCCATGATCTACAACACGTTTGCTGTTTTATATCTACACTGTATCAGTTGCTCAATCCCACATGCCAAGGCTTTGCTTTCATCAGTTGCAAGTGGCAGAAAAATTTATCAGCCTCCAATGCACAACTGTGCACTTAGTATTATTACATTACATCCATTTTTTATTATTCCTCAAGGTCATCCAGCTCTTCCTGTATGTGAGCTCCCTCCTCCTTTATACTGAGGGTGGCTTCCAACCTTTGCTCACTGACAGATTTCATTAAAATTATTTTAATAACCATTAACTTCTTAAGATTAACCCTTGCTGGACTACATGGCATCACAGATTATCTGCTGTGTGAAAGCCCCTTCACAGTTTCCCTTATGCCCTAATTTTCCATTTCCCTCTGGACACACTATCAACTTCTATTTACTCGTTTAATTTTAAATTATTAACTATTTTCATATACTGCCTATTTTATCCACAATTAAGGAGCTTTTCCTCTTCTGAGGCATTTTTGCTCTTTCTCACCAAACTGCAGGTGGCATTACTTGTTCTGTGTTTCTAATGTACAAGTTCTTAAAGTGTTTTAAACTGAGGTATCAATCACACTGCTTTCACTTGCACAGAGAATTCAGAGACAGAGTACTGCGCTGAAGATGATACAGTCAAGCCAAACAATTGTGTCTGTACAGATAGATATATAAAATTAGGTCTAAAAATGAAAAGTAGGCATATTTAGGACATCACAGTGTTCAGTAAGAACATTCATTAGGAAACTAAACTGAGTAGGAATGATGTAAAAGCAATTCCAAATAGTAGATAGATAGAAAAAAATTACAGGACACTACTCATAAGTGGGTTAAAAAATTCCACTCATAAGTAATTCCTCACCAAGACTTTCCTTTTTCCTCTAAAAGATCTATCCAGATGTCTTCCTGCTTGATTAGTTTCTCTGCTGAAGGACTAATTGCAGCATCAATTTAGTTGCTTAAGCAGAGTTAGACAGTTCAAGTTGGTCTGCCAAGTATACTGTATCTTCAAAGTCATCCACAACTCTGTTCTAGAAGTATCACAACTACATCTACTCACCTGTGCTTCTCTTGATTTCTCAAGTCATGCTCTAAATTTAGGTGCAGATTCTGAGCAACAGTGCCAGGAGTTTCTGCACTTAGCAGCTAGGCTATGCACATTCATAATTAAGATAATTTCAGGCATATGTGGGTTTCTCTAAATGAAAGCAAAAAATTTAGAAGTTTTCAAGAATTCTTCATCTTAAAGTCCCTGTTAAATTTGGGTACTGAAAGAGAAACTTATCTTCCTTTGCTTGCCTGAAACATAGCCTGTATTCATGAAATGCAATCAACAGCATGAGGTCTCAAAAGTTTGTTTGGCACAGGATTTGTGTGTGGTTTGACCTCAGGTTCCCAACAAACTCATTCCAATGTTCAGGAATTCATATGATTTCTATTAAAACACAGGCAACAATATTTCACAATCTCAATATTTTTTCTCTAGAAACAATGTATAATGTGGTATTAGTAGAGAATTTGACAGCCTCAGTAGATATACTGCTCTTGCATCTTCCAAAGTAAATGCAGGCTGCTTCTATACATCAGGGATTCCATGCTGAAAATTTAATCTGCTGCTGCAACAGCAGCATACAGTTTCTAAATAGCTGTCCCATTAACCTAGTTACATGCCCAAAAGCAAGCAGAAGTTTGATCCAAATTCCACTGGTAACACTGCCCTGACACCTGGATTAAAGCTATGGGATATACTAAGATTTTATGATTGAAACATATCTATGAAAATCCACTTGCATACCTGTCAGCTAGGTACTTGGCATTAATTTTTCTTCTTTCCCT